CTCAAATTACCAGTTCGTGGCACCCGTTTTCAATCGATAGAAGACATAAAGGAGAATTCGCGGCGAGACCTGAACTCAATTCCGGTAACAGCGTTTAAAAAATGTTTTGATGATTGGATTAATCGTTGGTGTAAGTTTATCGTTTCTGAAAGAGCATACTTTGAAGGTGATAAAATATTTTGTGTATTATTGATATTTTCCCGGTACTTTCTTGACAGAGTAGTAAAATAAATAAGTATAGGTAGGTATACTTAAGTTTTTGTGTAGTAGGAAATGTAAGTAGGTACTTTCTATTGATTTCCTATAAACTAATTAAAACGATACATGACGTCAGGTGACGAAAAACTTACCACAATGAAGTGTATAACACAGTTCTTTTATTTTTGTAGGCGACTTTTCAACCGTTTAAAACGATTAATATGGGGTTTATAAATGCAACAATTTATTTAAAACGTTTATATCGGTTGTTTTACTTCTATAGACCTGCCTAATTAATGTTATTATATTTTTCCGGAATATTACAGTTGAAATCTTTAAAAAAAATTGTTTCGTAGTAATAAAAATATTTTAAGTGGTTTGAGCGACAAAGAAGTTCGGGTGTCTGTTAAAGATTGATGTTAGAACAATAGTAAGAATAACTTCGTGTAGTACATACGTGATAAACATTTAGTATGTGTGAGTGAATTTATATTCTATTAATGGTAGTTTACGTGAAGCTGGAAAATATTTCAAAGAGAACACGTATGAATGAAATTGAATTCTACAAATTATTCATAGAGTTTAAGCTACCTTTTTAAAAATTGTAAGCGTCCGTTTTACAAATTGTATATTGCACGATCAGTTCAAAATGAATGCAATATTTATTTTACGTGCGAGTATTTATAACAGCTGTTTCTGAATTTTTAAACTTTGAAAATATTATTTAACCGACTTAAAAAAATGTTCAATTTCACTTTTTATTTATCATTTAAGATGGCGATTTTCAATGTGGGTTCAATCCAAATGTCAAGAGAATATATTACCTACAAGGGTGGCAAATTTTGTTATATTACATCAACGGCCTTTGTAGTCCACTGCTGAACATAGGCATCTCCTTAGGAAGGAAAATTATGGAGGATGATTTAAAATAGCTAGTCACAAATTTATCGTGATTTCTTTTATTTTTTTTTTGAGTAAAATATTTGTTGACATTGCCTAAGACCGCTTTTGTATGAAATGTGCATGAAATTTAAAAATAATAATGAAATAGAGACACATGCAGGAATGAAATCATTCAGAAACTTATCGACGAACCCTTAATACTAATGCAGTGTACACGTATAAGTTATAAGATTAAAAGACGTCATCACAGACTAAAAAGTTCTAAATTCTTACGTCACGAAACAGACCGCCTTTTTTAGATAAAACTGGCTGAGACCCGCGGTGTTATCCGCGTTTGTTGTTGTAACCGCGGGCAACGCCGCGGGGCGAAGCTAGTCAAAAAAAGTAGCCTAAGTTACTCCTTATGTCATCAGCTATCTGCCAGTGAAAGTCCCGTCGAAAGACAAAAGACAGACAGACAGACAAAAATTGTAAAATGTTATTTTGGCATATGTACAGTGTAAACATACATATGCATTTAGTAAAAAGCGGTTATTTTAATATTACAAACAGACACTCCAATTTTATTTATTTGTATAGATAATAAATGAATTGTCTTACATAAAGCATGATGTAATAAACCATCCTTTATTCAGTATATCGTTGTACAAAAAGAATTTCTTTTTCCATTCCCTCGACCTGCACCTAAACCAATATAAGGTACAGTACTACCGTTACAAACTGTTCCACGTGGGTTAAGTTTTAAGTTTGCCAATATCTCGTATGCATATTTTAGTAAACAGTTCCAGTGTGACCAAGATTTTATTTATTATGTAATAGAAATATAGAGTATGATAGACAGTACATACATAGAGTATGTATCTGTATCTATGCGAAAGTTTGTGGGACCATAACTCTTAAGCGAAGGAACCGAATTTGATTTAGTGTTTAAATTGAAAAATGACTTGTTTATGTTGTACTTAGATATAATGAAAAAATCTATTAAACCATGAGAGTATTTTCATCTAATGTTAACGTTGCGAGTATTTTAAATTTTTAAATTTATTTAATCAGTACACTTAACTTTCATTAAGCAGGCCACAAGTGTTTATTTTCTAATCTAAATAATTCAGTGTTATATATCCTACAATGTTATTCTGATACTGACTTAGTGCGAAGAAATGATTGAAGGTAGTAATTTTACCGTAGTGCGTCATATTCTTCTCAAAATATATAAATACATAAATTTAAGTACCTAAAGGCAAAACGTAAAGCAAAAACACATTTGCATCCCCTAGCTTAATATTTCTCAGTTTATCGCTATCAATATAACTGTTCACATAACTTTTACGACTTGCACGCAATCTTTATAGAAACTTCCATTTTTATAATGCTATCATTTATTAACCAGGTTCCAAAATCTTATCCGAAATGTCTCTAATTCGATCATTTTTTTGGTACTGGGGAGCAAACAAGCATGTAGGTCACTTGATGGTAAGTAACTACCGTCGCCTGTGTAGGTACATCTGCATCTCAGTATTTCAGAGGGCATAGTGTAAGTTTATTTCACTTCTACTCGCTCTCGACAGCGAGCGCCACACACACAGCGCCAAACGCAGTCACCGCGACGACCGCGTAGATGTAAAATAAACTTGCACTAGGCCTGCAGAATTATTCTAAGCTGCTGGTAACTACGCATGCGATAAATCACAATCATCTGAGATTAATCATATGATTATCATCACTATTGTGACTCATCTACAACATCACTTACTACTATTATTATGCTAACACCAGAGTCGCGAAAGGATTAAATCTAAAAAAAACGCTCGCCTTGATTGATTTTCATGGCATTCATCTTTATTTATGACCTCTAAGGATGGCAAATTAAAGAATGAAGAATACAATTTATTACAGTTATCATTGAAAACGGTGATATATTTTTTTAAAGTAATTATTATAATAGTGACCTTTGGTGATATTTAAAACCAGCATTTTCAGATTTAATTAATTGTAGATTGGCGCGCAATTCGAAATTTAAATGTGGGATACATTTTTGTCGTTTTTTTTTCTCCAGCAAAAGGTTGCAAAATGCTTTCAGTCATAATGGCGTCCTTTGAAAATGACCAGCTACGTTTTTTCAACGTTAGCAAAAATTATATTTTAATGATATACGAATAGCCCCAGATCTCGCCGTCGCGCGTCTCGCCGCCACCCGCGCCTGCTTCTGCTAGGGTGTGATGATGATGACCGATGACCTCACCAGTCACCCCCAGGCCTGCGCTTATGGAGGACGGAGGTCGTTCTGCGACCTCCGGCGCCTGAGCCGCCTGTGGTACCTGGCCCTGGCACTCAGGCGTTGGCTCCTTGCAGATCAACCTTCCCCAGTGATCACCTGCTCAACCGGTATGAGAGGGTCCCGTGTCAATCCTCCATAACGGGTTTTACCGCCGCGATAATGGCGTGAACGACTAGACTTTAATGGATTAGGATTCATTTGCATAAAAGTAATGTTTCCTTACCTCTGTATTCATTTTCTGTATAAATGTATGAGTAAATATTCTATACTGTATCCTTGATTATGTAAAAATGTAATGCAAAATGTTCTAATGAAAATTACGCACGTAAAATACGAAGAAACAAACAGTGATGTTTATATTTGAGATTACTACTTAGTTAATACTTCAGGTTGACAAACACACTACTAAAAGTAACAACCTGAAATGTTATTATCAAGAGATCTAATACTATGACGTCACAAAAAAATATTATATTGTATAAGCTCCCTTAGTGGAAGCATCACGCCACTCAATGAGTATTGCCATCTCACTCTAAACGAAGCCCAAACCCTTAAAGCAAGGCAGGGAAAGCGCACAAGTTGATAGTATAATGTCCTATCGATCCTGAGGTACGCGGTACTCATTTATATTGAATGAAACTCTTCTGGTTGTTTGATGGAGAGTTTTTATATTGATGTTTACGTATGTTCTTTTGCGAATGACATACTGCCTATAACTTTCATTAAAGATGCGGAGCTTTTAACATATTGCGTGAAAATATTCAAGCATTTTACACAAAAAATGAACGACTAGAGGCATATTTTTCGTGTTTCTCTTACTTCTATAGTATATTGAAATGCTTTGCGCAATACGAAAGGAGCTTTTACAAAAATAAGCCTTACAAAAATCATGTTGTACATTTTTAATTACAAAAGCTGTAAACGAGATCAACGAATGACGCAACCGTAGGTATATTTCGGAATGTTGACGGAATGTTTGCCGAGTGGAACTTTATCGATTATGTTTAAACTTTCATTCTGTAATGAAAGGGAACCTTCGTTAGTATCTTTGTTTTTAATTTCTTCTTAAATATGTAAAGTTCTAAGTAATGCAACATCGGAAAACAATACCGCATATTTACATATTTAATTGGTTTTCAGGTAAAATGTACATGTTTAGCGTACTTATTACGTTCTTTTTAGACTCAATAGTCTCATTACCTATGCTAGATTAGCATTTTTATATATCGATTAACCAGTGGCATCACTTTATTTTGTAACCAGTACAATAAGTAAAATAGAACAAAATGTTTAAAGTCGTCCATGGTCAGTAGAACCATGTCATGGACGGACAATTATCGCCATTGTTCACTGCATTCATCATGGCAGCAAGTAGCTTCACTTGGTAAAATACAGCCTGTTCCAGCCTATGTGGGGATGCTAATGCGGTTTTAAATCAATTCCATATAAAGTCTAATCCGTCTCACTTTATAATTAGAATATCGGGCGTATCGTAATTGCTATCGGCTATTTAGATAGTTACGGATCAGTCAACACAAAGCAGAAAGAACCTGGAAATACCTAACCTTTCCTGCTTGGTACTAGCTATATAGAAAGTTTCTTAGCATTTTATGATGCTTACCTGCCATCCCTGCAACAGTAGTGATCGGTCTACAGTCCGCAACCACATGACTGCATCTCCGGCTTGGAAATCGCGTAGGCGATGACAGCGTGAGTGCAGGAACATGCCGAGGCACTTGAGCAACTCGGAGGTAGAGGCTTGGATTACCGTTTTGCGCGGTACCACCACCGGGCCCACGGCACTGGGCGGCACCTTCTCGTAACATACATTGTTGTTGAGAGCGTTTGCGCGAGCCACATCGACGGGCGCGGGTGGCGCTGGCACCGGTGCTGGTGCACCTCGCGCGTACCCTCCCGGCACGTGTGCATTCTTGTTGCGGTCCAGCGGCACATTGTCTGCCAGCGGAGCTCGGAATGTAGTCACGCTCTTGCTTTTGCATTCCAGTTTCTTCTTGTTGTTGTTCGCAGTTGAGAACCGCTTCCACGAGAGCGCGTTGATGAACAACGAGTGCTTCTTTAAGTTTTTCTCCAGCGCCGTCTTTTCCGATATGATCTTGGCGGCATCGTCGAGGGTGGCGCGGCGCTCGTCGCGCAGTACGTCTCGGTTCTCCCGATTCTTGGATTTGAGCCGCTCGTGGGAAAAGCGAGTGCGGCCGGCCCGGGGGGGGCGGGCGGCGGGCGGACCCCGCTCGCGGGGGCGGAAGCTCAGCAGGGTGCCAGGGGCCCCGCGGCGTGCGGCGCTAGGTGCCCGCATGATCACGTTCGGGGCCCGGCAGCGGGGGCGGCCCTTTGGGGGCCGATAGGGGCGCGCGTGCGGCGGCGCGCCTATCACGAAAACGTGCGCAGCAGCTGAGGAGCGCCCCCAGGCCCCCCTTCACCAACCCCAGTAAAAAAAACCTCGGACTTCGTGCACCACTCTCCCCATACTTTTCGGCTTAATTCCCAAAAATGCGGCTCCCTCTGACCGGAGATGTCACTATTTAAGGCTTAGGGCCAAAATGAATTTTCAGTTTTGTTTTAGCATTGGGCAAGAGCCTGATATATATTTAAAAAGCGATAGGTTTATTTACCGAACACATCATGTGCTATAGGGTTTGGCACCTCATCTGGGATTATTCTATGCTAATAAGTCACACGTTATGAAGTTGCCAATTTTTGTTTTATGTTCAATAGTAGTCTATCATCCAGGCAGCACTAGTTGCAAATATCGAATTTATTACCAAAAGCCCCTTTATCAAGCGATTAAACGGTTAAATAAAAAACTGAAATTTATAAGACACGGCTATGTGGGTAATTTTTCGGATATTAATAAAAATGCGGGGGGGATTTCCGGGGCATAATGAATCCCCCCAACAGTCATTCTACACGTAAATTTGATACCGGGTGCTGCTGTACAAATTGGTTTTATTAGACGACCCCAAAGAATTTTTTCCCGAAGAGCAGAAAAATCTCAACAAAAACTATCATAAAACTTCAGCGTCACCGGATTTTAACAGGCTTAACCAACGCTATAGACATTCAAACCTCAACATCTTCACTGTCATTTTTAAAAAAGAAATTTGAATTCGTGCCACTGTTACCACGTAATATATTATTTAGGGAAATATAATTGTATTTGAATGCAAATTTAGATTCAACTGTCGATTCTGTACTTGCAGGCTAAGCTATTTTTTATAGTTTTTCAAGTCTTCCCTCGAATGAGCAAATTGACTTTCAAACATTAATTAAAATAAGCTTATTTTTCAGTATTTTTTTTCCGCTAAAGTGTCAACGATGTAGAAATAATAGTCAGTTTGAGACCCTTATGATGATCTTTCTTCTCTACTCTTGTCTGTAGAATAGGTCATCTTAATCTATTCACCTCTCTATCTAATTATATGTTGGGGTATACATTAAGTGAGGATCTAACCCTATGTCTCTAAATTACCATCGCGATCTTAATTACTGCGTTACCTCCCCTTTGTCTTAAGTCTGTGTGGTACGATGTGTGGGTTGTCTTGTGGACTTATGTTGCGACACGCGGACACGTGTAGGCGGTGTGTAGGTAAATCAAAGATAAAATAAAAATATCTACTGATGTGAGGTAAAAAAAAACCGATAGCATACCGAAGCCATGTTCACGACAGGCTACGACGTTCTCTTTTTTATGTATTTTTATAATCGATCTTAAAATGATATAGATATTTTTAAAATGGTTTCCGGAGGACAATAGATTCGTCAGTTGTAAAAACCAGACCATCAAAACTGACTTCTAGGCTTTTGTCACTTTCAATGTACTTTTCATATGTACCTATATTTTTCTACTAATGGCCTTACTAGACCACTTCTGGACTTAGGCCTCGCTTTAGAATGGACTCCTTATGTGAGTACATTGTCAACCCTATATAGCAGTATATTAAGCAGTAACAAGTGCCGGTTAAACAATTTAAACTCTACTCAGACATTTAAAACTAATTTACATTCTAATTACACGTAATTCTAAATTTTAACCGGCAGCCGCTAATTAATTGAAAACCCAACGCACGATAGTCAAATACACGTGTACCTGTTGTATTATATATTTATATAAATAATATGTAGGTAACACGCCACTCTTTGATAATAAAGCCCATCTATTAGTTCAAAATTCGACACGTGTGCTCACATGCTTACAGTGTGTAAGGACTATTGCAAGGAAATTTGGCATCAAGAGAATTACAAGCTAGTTAGATCGTGTCAAAAATTCCCTCTCCTCTTTTCTGAAATAAAGAAGTTACTTCAGAAAAGAAGTTTTGGAGCACGTGAGACACTAGTGTATTTCCCTAAATCCCTAAATAGCTACCATTCCATTCGTTACCCTGATCTATCTAAGTTCCTATCTTGATCAGGAGGAATATGTGAATGAATCTAAAGATTTGGCGAACGCTCTTATGTAAAGTTTCTCGGAGGTTTTCTTCTTCACCACTACAAAAGCACACACCATTTCCGTACGAGGTCCGAGCAGTAATCCTGACAGCCCTTTGTCGTATATTTTTTTCTTCCGTGTCTTCCGAACTTTCCTTCCCTATAAAGGTCACCAATCTAATGCGTACGCTTTTCTAACTAAACCTTACGAAGTTAAAACCTACTTGTTTAGTGTTATCTATTTTATCATCATGGACATATTAATAACAATGAATTGCTATCATTTGTAAGCGCACCACTTCAGAGCGGCTTAGCGGATTTGGTTGGCTGAATTTGGATTTGAACATATCCGTAACGGCTTGTATTAGGGTTTTATATAAAAGAAGGTTGGGCGGGTAGCTCGGAAAATTGAGAAAAACTGACAGCGATATAGTTACTCAATCGGATCTGAATGAAACTTGACACAGATAAAAAAAATACTAGAATAGCGTATAGGCTACTTTTTATGAAACAAAAATAGGCTAACAAACGACATTAGTATTATATTGATATTGGTTATGGGCTCGGCTTTCCGCATTTAGACTCGAAGGTATCACAACAAAAGACATTAATGCAAACGAAGCCGTGAGTAAATGCTAGTGTCATAAAGGTCAAATTTAAACTTAGAATGTAATAAACGAATAATGCTTTTAAACTCTAAATAGGCGATGGAAAAAGAATTGAAATGCGAGTACTCACAATTTTTTCATAAAAGTTTATTTTAATTTGAAAACACGGCCAGTAATGGCTATTCGTGAGAAATGCGTCATCAACAGAATACTAAACCTTACACAGGCCAGCTACTCGTATTTATGGCTTTCATTTTATTCCCGCAAGACTGATGACCGATTGAACATACATATAGAAAGCTACTTTTAATAAAGCGCTGTAAATAAACAGGTGAGTTATTTCTGTTTTTATTCTCGTCTATAAATTACTTAAAGCTTAACCTATATTCATCATCATCATCAACAGCCTTTAATAGTCCACTGCTGGACATTGGCCCCTCTTTAGAAAAGAGGTTTTGGCCTACTATACCGCGCTGGCCTGACGGGTTGGTATAGGGTTTGTTCTGTACTGTTTCCTCCTTGTCCTCTTGGAGGAGAGGATTATCGCCAGCGGCTAATATTCTAGCAGAAGAGGTAGCCGTTCATCGGCTCTCGGGCAAGGCCTGGTCCAGCAGGGTGGGCGTGTCTGCCGGTTGCTCTGCTGGCTCTTCGCTCTTCGGAGCATGGAGGAGGAAACCTCGGTAAAAAACCGGATGGCGGGGCCCTGTAGGGGCCACAGTTTCTCCGCTGACAGCGGTGGAGAAAGGAGGACGGGCTCGGCGTGTACTAACACTACCACCGAGCAGGCAGGGGGACGTAGTCTCCCTGTCAACCGTCGGCATATCGTAATCCCGAGAAGAGCGCTGTGGTTAAGTCTCGCGGCTCTGATCGGGGGCGAGGGTCTTGGCTTAACCGCCCGGACCGCGAGGAAGATAACCTCTCTAAAAAAATTCCCCGAATCCCGTGTTCTGGTGCGTGGCCAGGGGATGCATGGCTGATGGGAAGTTCAGTCTCGAGCGCACTCCAAGCCGAGGTACCTGCGGACCCCTCGGTTGGGTTAAAAACTTACGCTTGCCCGGGTAATGGGGGATCTCTGCCCGGGTGGACCTTTAGTTCTCCCCCACTCGTGGGATTTATTATGGAGCATATCAACAAAAATATAAAGAAACGGCAACCAACACAAAACAAACAGAAACAGGCAAGCAAAACGGACTCTGAAATGAAAGAGAAGAGGAACAGTGGAGTGGATGGGTCATCCACGGAGGGTGAGATAGCGTCGGGAACGCCTATCTCGGTGGGGCTCCCAGAAGTCAGTCTGACGCTGGTCTCTGGGAGCCGAAGAGCATCGGATCGGCTGCGTTTCGGGAGCCGGTGGGGGGAAATGCCCCCCAGACTCTCGTGTCCGTGCAGGAGAGGGCGAAAGCGGCGGTGGCCGTCATCCACAAGGTGGCCACCAAGTCCGTGAACCTTAAGGGCTCGTTTGTGAGGGCCCTTAAGGACTCCTCCTCCGCTTTGTCGGAGGTCGTGGAGGGCCTAGTGGGCGACGTTTCGCGCCTACAGGTGGCCAACGAGAGGCTGACGGAGCGGGTGAACGAGCTGAGTGCTCAGTTCGCCCGCTTCCAGGCGAACCTCCCCGAGCGGGAAGCCCCGTCCGCGTCCCAGCCTGCCCCTACCACCAACTCAGGGGCATTTGACTCCCAACTGCGGGAAATCCTCATCGTAGTTGGGAATATGCTGGACGGACGCCTGGCTGGCCTGGAGGCGAGACTGCCCCCTGCGCCGATTGTGCGCCCCCCGCTCGCGTCAGCACAGCGGCCTAAGGCCGCCGCTCCGACCGCGCTCCCCGTGGTGGGAGGCCGCGTTTCCTACGCGGCGGCGGCGTCTGCCCCTACTCCATCGGCTCCCCAAAAGCCGAGGAGGGGGGCCAAGGCACCGGCCCAGGCGCCGGCCAAGGCACCGGCTAAGGCGCCGGCCAAGGCACATCCCCAGGCGCCGGCCAAGACGGGGCCTAAAACAGCGCCGAGGAGCGGAGTGGCATTCCCTCCGCTCCCCACTCCGACACCCCTGCCGGGCCCCTCCGCACCTGCCCCCTTCAACGAGGGTTGGCAGGAGGCGAGGGGCTCCGAGAAGTCCCGAAGGCGGGCCAAAAGGGCTGCCCAAAAAGCAGCCCATGCCCAGCCTTCGCCACCGGTGGCAACCTCCTCCACAAAGAGGCCGCGGAAGCTGCAGCCGCCCAAAACCGCGGCTGTAGTGGTAACCGTGTCCCCGGAGGCGGCTGACGGCG